CCCAAGTATTAGAAAATTTAAAAGTTCCTTTTTAGCCTTTTTTAAGAACGAAACTTGAACGCTTTGCTCCAAATTATTCTTCTTTCTTGTTCGCCCTTTTTGCTCCACCCAACGGATCTCCATAGTAGCCCGTTTCGCTTATGTTTTTTGTTCCTTTCCGTTTTTGTCCAAATCCCGAGTTCCTTTGCTCCCTCTTTCCGGCGTCATTTCGATTTTTTGAATTTTCATTACCTCTGGTTATTATCCATTACCGACGGGTTTTTTCTGACCACAAAGCTTTCCGCGCACCAGCTTTGTCCATATTCTAAGTGCATATCCTGTATATAGGTGATCGATAAAATATTGAATTATTAAGGGTTTTTCCGAATAGTTGCAAAAATTAGCAAAACTTAGAAAGAAAGTTAGGGAAGATGAGAGAGAGGCAGAGATGGAAAAAGAAATACAGGGGAGAGAGAGTGAGAGAGCGAGAGTGAGAGAGAGTGATAGAGAAGGAAAGAGCTATCGAGATGTATGAGCGAGAGAGAGATAAATAGAGTAGTAAGAGATACGAGAGAGAGAGAAGAGAGAGAGAGAGAGAGAGAGAGAGAAAAAGATGTTTCATACCCCTAACACAAGCTATACAAGCTATTGGGAAATTCCGCTTTGCTACTATGAACCCGGCGTGGGATATTGGTGTGTTTCTAACACTCTTTCACACGTTTCGTCGAATAGACCAACAAGGGATAGCCACGCCATTATCTACAAAATTGCTATAAATTATGATATTATTTAGGGGGAAAGGCTATTTTGCTTTCCTAATTGACCTATTTTTGGCTTAGATATCGTCTCATTCAAAAAGCCCTATAAAAATTATTTCCAGTACACTTTAATCAATGACACCACCCAGAGGCCCTCGCGCTGGAGGAGGATTTTTATTCATATTCTTATCTGCTCTACTTGTAATCGTACGTCCTGAATGTCAACCGTAAGACCTCCGGATCTAGATTATCTCCGAGAAATCCCAGCTCTTAAATTAAAGAAAATTCAAAAGAGTGTTTAAAAATTATTGTTAACCGTTTACCTTACTTCCAGAAACGGTAGCCATCAGAAGCAGTCAGAGACATGGAAAGCCAGATTTTGAATTGCTCGAATCGATTGTGGCCGATACCAGAAGCAGGCGCTGGTCAGGGTTAGAGCCCTACAGTAAGTTCAAAGAGAGGAGATAATTAGAGGTAGAGATGGAGAGAGCGATGAGAGCGAGATCGAGAGAGGTGAGAGAGAGCGAGTCAAAGAGAAAGATCTTCTTTTCAAGGCACCTCTTTCAGAGGTGTTACAACGGAAAGGGCATCGACATGGTGGCGTCGAGGGACCAAGTACGTCACGATGGTGCCCGAGGTGTACTGTGCAAATCGGGTAGCTTAAGTTAAGCTTTCCGATCCTCGAATTAGGTCCGCATAGGGAACGTGGTAGATGGCGGGAAGTGGATGTGCAACCCGGAAGCTGTTAAAGGTACAAGCCAGAGTAAAAAAAAGAGAGAGAGAGGGAGACAGTGAAAGAGAGCGAGAGAGTGAGAGAGAGCGAGAGAGATAGGAAGAGAGTGAGGGCAACAGATTGCATTTTAGAAAGCTGCGCCATCTTCTCACTGGGAGTCTTGGGCGATATCTCCTTTGAGGAAGAGTTTCAGGAGATGACGAATCAGAAGTGTGTTGTGTACTCGTATGACAAGGTATCTGTTACTGACTACAGTTTATCGTTGCGTTCTGTCTTTTTTCCAGAACAGTCCAGGGCAAGCGATTATCGATCGGCTGCCGCAAATTAATGGACGCTTTACCAAAGCTTTGATCGCAGATTTTGACGATCCAGCGGTAAGCGTTGCGGTTCTCAGGCTCTCTTTTCTCGCTTTCTCACTTTTTTCTAGCGTTTTCTCCGACTGCCCAAAAGAAATTTTTGTATAGACAAACACGCGCAGTATCAAGTCTGAGCTTCAACTGTACAAGCTGGACCGGGTCGAGGTGTCGAAGATTGATATTGAAGGTAGCACTACCAGTTTTAAAGTATTTTCCAAATCTAGGCGCCGAGCTAAAAAGCCTTACCACCGCTTCTGGAGCAGGCGCTGATTTGCCAGGTAATCCGAAAGCTTTATCGACTTAAAAATGCTTGCAAATGCGGAGAGGGTGCGACAGAGAGAGAAATAAGCAGAGAGCGAGACTGGAGAGAGAAGGGAGAGAGAGGATAGAGAGACTGCAATTCCCGGGGAAAGCAAACGTTCACATCGACACCCCTCCCTTGCTTCACCCTCCCTACCATCATCTGCAAGCTTCCATAGACCACAGCCAATCAAAGAAGTTACTCAGAGTCCCCCTTTTCTCTGCTGGCAATTAGACAGTTTCGTAGCCGGGCAAAGAACTGTGTGCTAGACTGTGGCCCCGGGTGTGGGGTGAGGTTTGAACACCTGGGGAGCTCAAGAAAGCAAAGCTCGAGATTCGGGGCCAGGCTTTAATTAGGATATTCTCGGCTTAGGCTTAGGGCTTAGGCCTAAGCTTGGCTTAGGTTCGACTTACATTTTTCAGATTTTGATCGAAATCCACGGGCTACCGGAAGAGGTCATCGACCTGATCGTGTTTATGGCGAAGACAGGGTAGCAATTTTCGTTCAGTTTAGCCAGATTATAACTCGGTTTTTCGGTGTCAGTATCCTTTGAAAATCCATATTACGTTCTTCCAGATACCGCATGTTCCACTAAGAGGTCAACGGGCTCTCCTCGACTTGAGCGAGTACTCGTTTATCCACGAGAGCTGCATGGAGCAGTTCGGAGCCGTCCCGTTGGCGTATTACTGGGATAAAATTAACATTTCCAGACCAGCTGGTGTGTAAAAATCAAGCCATTGATGCGCTTAAATAGAGATATCGCTTGATTTGCAAATTTTAGTGTTTTTGTAGCTTGTCTTTTTTGCTAATTTTTAACCTTTTTTGCATTTCCTAAACGGGTAATTTTTGTTTTGCTTTTTTGGGTCTCTTTAATAAATATTTAGGAAAGTTTGCTCCTAAAAATCAGCACCAATGTTCCTATCCTTGCCCGCTAAAACTTGCCCCATGCTAGGGGGCTAATCTCAGCAAAAAGCCGTCCCATTAGCCTAGTGCTTGAGGCGCGAAATGGGTGGCAATGGGTGGCGCGCCCTAGAACTACGCACCGCTCCAATCGACATCCTTGATTTTCGGCCAAAATGCAGGCACTGGTGCTGCTACTTGCTTTGCCGATTGTGTTTGCATTTACGTTTGAGGAGGTAAGCTAACGTGCTTAAGCTTAGGCGTAGGCTTAAGCTTAGGGCTTTGGCTTAGGCTTAGGCTTGAGGCTTAGCCTCGGGCTTGGCTTGAGCTCAGACTCCATTTTTTTTTTCGTTTAGCGTGAACTTTTCAATGGTCCTCGGCGCCCGCGAAGCGTTCCACCTAGAAATTTCGAGAAGAAGATTGCCAACCTGACCTTGTGGGCTTTGATCATTTTCTAAACTACTAAAACGCCGACTTGATTGTTCCTTCTCCTATAAGCCCAGCAAAGCGAGGAGATCCGAAAGTATATGGCGACTATTCCTGCTCACAGGCGGGAGAGCTACGAGATGCGCAAGATGGAAAAAGAACAAGGAGTGGAAGAGGGTGAGAAGATCAACAGAGAGAGAGAGAGAGAGAGAGAGAGAGAGAGAGAGAGGACAGAGACAGAGAAAGACAGAGAGAGAGGGAGAGAGAGACAGAGATGAAGAACTTCATCGACTCAGAAAGAAAAGATGCTCACCTCTTGAAAACGAATTCTTAGAAAATTCACCTACTGCGCCTGAAGGCGGGTCAAAATCCTAGGCAAACAGAACTACAGGAAATCCATGGCCGTAAGTCCTACCGTACCCTAAAAAATCTTTTTAAAAAAAGCAAAAAATCCTTTTCAGGCCCTACACAAGCCTGAATTGAATCGACAGCAGCGTCTCGAAGCCATCCTGAAATTTATGAAGCGCGTCCCACCTCAGCTCCTTGGGCATAAAATCCACGTGAACAATTGGGCCCGTGAGGAGATCCCGGCCTGGATCCAGTAAAATTAGTAACTATGGAAGTTGTGGCGATAAACGTTATTTGTATTAAGAGTACGCAACAAACGCAAATCCAAGCCTGGACCAATTTGTTCAGAGTCCGATTTTGTAATTCCGTCCTGATTTCCGGAATTTCCGGAATTCCGGGACGTCTTCCCAATCTGGCCCCTCATCCAAATCGGGGTCAATTTTCTTGGCCCCAAATGAGGAGGCGTCTTTGTTTGGCGTTCCGCCTCCTTGAAGCGCCCAAAAGAAATTCCACTCACGCCTTAATTTCCCGATCCCTGTCGTTTGGTTCTTAGGTTGCCTCTCCTTCTCTCTCGCCCTCTCTTCTCTCTCTCGCTTTCTCCATCTCACTCTCTCTCTCTCTCTCTTACTCTCAAATGAGCCTATTCGTAAATTGGAAACCCTTGAATCATTGAGCCCAAGAATGCACGTTTCAAAGTACGGGGGCTTCGTTATTTTGCTCAGTTTTGAGCTTCGTACTTTAGATGTTTTGCTGCTAATTTTTGCACAAGCCGTTTGTTACAGTGAGCACCGCCATGCCTCTGTCTACAAATTAGGACGACCGACAAATCCCGTAAAGTTCTCTGAGTCTGCAGCCGAAAGGGCCTTGTCAATAGGAAAACCAAAGAAGCCCTGTAGTGTGTAACCAAAAGTTTAGTCCGGAAAAGTTTAGTTCACCAGGTGCCGTTTGACGAAATGAATAAGGTACATTTTGTTTCGGGATGTAATGGGTATCCATTTCCTAAAAAAATAAAACCTGACCTACGGTATCGACAG